AAAAATAGGATGGTGAAGTACCTAGAAATAAAGGAGTGAGATTCTCTGGTCATAGTCCATTCCATTAAAATAATTTACTGGGCATTTACTATGTGTCAGACACTGTGTTAAACAACCTTGCAATCTTTTTCTCATTTAATCCTTTGAGGCAAATTCAGTTAACACTTATATGATTAATTTTATGCATACGAGAAAAGAAGCAGAAGAGTATCCTTGCTTTTTCCCCTCCCTTCCACTTTACATTTTCCCCATATATAATTTTTGCTAGAATGAACAAATTAATAGATTCAAATAAGCCTTGAAGATTGTTCCTTTCTTTGAGGTCATGGCTGGACTCAGAAAGTAAGAGAGTATATTCTACCAATAAACACTACTCACCCTTTACCACTGAAATTAACAATGAAATAAAAGAAATGATAAAATGATGTATAATGTCAAGTTCAAATCGGAAAGTAGTTACTGAATACATAATGTGAGCCCAGTGCTGTACTGAACAACGTATCAGTGCTGGCGAGAGGCTGTTTAAGACAGAATTCTGTCTCTTCTGTGGGCAAGTATGTCTCTCTGAGCTTCCCGTGAAGTGCTTAACAGATATCTAGAGAAAGAAAGGAGGAAGGAATACTTTGGATATCGGCAGAATGAGATGTTATATGCAACTGCATTTCACAGAAAATGGATATGAGACATAGTCAAAAGAAACAGTTTGTGGGAAATGGAAAGTACATTTATTATTATAGTACTAATCAATTAAAATGTTAATGAATACCTTCACTACAATAATTATGGTTTGCATTTGCAAAACATATTGGTCTTCAGAAGTTCAAGTTCAAGTGAAAGATGAGGTAACTAAGGCGCTCATACACTCCAAGCCAAAACTAGAAATCAAGTTTCCTGTAAATGTATCTGTAATAGTTATTCCCATGAGCAAAGAATGCATGACAGAGGCTGTGGAAGGAAAAAATTGAAAGAAAAATCAGTGTGTAAGGCCCAATTCTTGTGTAATATTTAATAGTCATAAACAAGCCTTAAAATCAGTGTCTATTTACTCATCTATTTTCAAAAAATGACTAAAAGAGTCACAATAAGAAAAGTGTAAAATGCTATCAGAAACTAGAGATAAGCTGGAAAAGAATAGTAAAAAGTATTCACGCTGAAATCTTAAAGAATAGTTTCAAATGACTGTCCAAAGGATGAAAAAGATAAACATTTACAGAGCACATACACATGCCCCGAGCAGCATTCCTTCTCACTGTCAACATGGCAGCTTCTATGAAAAAAAAAAGAACAATTACTGTTTACAGCTTCTATGAAAAAAAAAATGAACAATTACTGTTTTTTTCTTATTAACAATGAGAACTGTGCAGCAGAATGGATTTCCATGTTTGTGTTGTCCCGAGAAAGTGCAGAGTCAACTGCACCAACATTTAGGTCTGCACATGGATGGCACGCCTCATCTCAGCCTCCTGCTACAAAGTTTTGCTTAACGTAATTTTTCTTGAAGTTTAAGTGATATTTTACACTTGTTTCTTTTTTTATTAAACACATCCTCACAGCTTTAACACATTCTTTGTGGGAAGAGAGGACACACACATACACACAAACAGAAATCGGGCTGGAAGTTGCAGGGGAGGTCTTTGGAACTGTGTAAGCATTTCAAAGTTCATCGCTGGGCTGATCTAGCATTTGAACAAATGAAACCACCATCAAAGATATCATCGATGGAAGGCATTTCAGTCTAAGGCAGATGGGCAGAGTCTTCCACCTAAAAAATGTTTTTTAAAAACAAAGTCGAAACATTTTTTCACAAGGTTAAATATGTTACTGAATTCATGGGCAATTTTTAAAGCATCTCACAAAAATCAAACACATAGACATAGCAGAAGAAACCAGCCTTGGAATAAAGCCTCAAAGTAAAATAAACTAAAGTAATTATCTTCCCATAGAATCATTAATCTCCCAAATGGCTAGCCATTTTAAGACAACAGAAAAAAATGGAAAATAAAAAGGCTTTGACCATTGAAAGAATATCTCATGCTCAGAAAGCAGCAAAAACTTTTTGGTGGAGAGGGTTGGTCTGTGGGATTTTGTTTTTTGTCTTTTGGGTGTTTTGGGTTTTGATTTTTGGTTTTTCGATGGTAAAATCTGCACTTTTTATTTGTTTCTGAGTCAAGGTGTCATTTGACCATTCAATGAGCTTGAGCAAGTTGCCTACATCCTGGTGCCGGGGGTAAAGATAGGAACAAAACACATCCTTAGACCTCAAGGGGGCCACAGACAGTAAGTCAGGATGCCCAGAGCCTGGGAGGTCTTGCATCCAAGGTGTCGGTGCAGAAGGGCAGAGTGCACAGGGTGGTGCTAGTCTAGACTGGAATTAGGGTGGGGACAGCTTCCTTGAGATGAGTCATGTAAATCTTGGAGAGACCAGGAGCAGTCTGGCCATCTAGGGGGAGTGCAGAGAGGCTGGCTGGGACAGGAGGAGAGCAGCACAGCCTGGGCTGGGCCCACTAGTGCAATCTCCATTCAGGGAACTGCAGCTGGAGAGGTGGCTGGTGACACAGAGTGAGCACCAGGAAAGATGCTGAGAAAAAGATTTCTTTCCTGAATGGACTTTTATTACCAGTCAAGAACTTTGTACTTCATCCTGCAGACACTGGGGAAACACAGAGAGGTTTGAAGCAAAATGTGATATGACTACGTTTTAGAAAAAAAGCACTCCAACCATGTGCAATAGAAAAGGTAGAGTGGGATCAAGGTGATCAGCTGGGAGACATGGCCAGGGTGCTCTGCACCAGCTGAGGGAATAAGAGGGATCTACAACCCCACCTCTGCACTCCACTCTCCAAGCCCTTCATCCTGGCATGGGAAGTTTCCTCCTCCAGGAAGGCACAAAGATGCTGAGAAAAAGATTTCTTTCCTGAATGGACTTTTATTACCAGTCAAGAACTTTGTACTTCATCCTGCAGACACTGGGGAAACACAGAGAGGTTTGAAGCAAAATGTGATATGACTACGTTTTAGAAAAAAAGCACTCCAACCGAGTACAATAGAAAAGGTAGAGTGGGATCAAGGTGATCAGCTGGGAGACATGGCCAGGGTGCTCTGCACCAGCTGAGGGAATAAGAGGGATCTACAACCCCACCTCTGCACTCCACTCTCCAAGCCCTTCATCCTGGCATGGGAAGTTTCCTCCTCCAGGAAGGCACAGCTTTGTCTTCCCACAAAGGTATGCTCTGCTGCTCTCCAAGCCCTGAACAAAGGCTTGACAAAAGCCCTGATTAAAGCTCTTTTTCTAGTTTATAAACCCCAGAGAGGAAGCCTTGTTCTAATTTACACACATACAGCAGTATGAGCTAGAGCCACCCTGGGTTTGCAATTACCTAAGTGAGAAATAACAAGGTCCTAAACTAAAGAAGGAAGGATAAAGAGAGGAGAAAATATTGACAGTGGCTCTTCATGCACCAGATACAGTAAGGGTATATTCTGTGCCAACCTCTGAGGATACACTGAGAGTCATGTCTGAGCTCTGCTCTGGGACAGGTGATAGAATGATGTGGGAGGTGATGGAAACAAGTACATTTTCAAATGTCAGAAATGCCACTTGCCATCTGCCTTCTCAAACTGCTCTTGACCCTAATGCCACTCTCCTGGTTAACATTTCTGTCACTCCAGGACCTCAAAACCCCCAGATAGGTTTGAATTCTTTCTTGCCCTCAATCAGTCGAGCTTTGTAGAGCTATCTCTGCAATGCAGCTCAGACCTTCCTCCTCTTTGCCATTCCTGCTCTGATCCAAGTCCTTGTTACTTCTCTCTTGAGCTCCTGAATTAAACTTCAGCTATTCACCCTACTTCCATTCTCTTTTATCTAGAA